ACAGACTCGTTCCGTGTGACCTTTTCTGGTTCAGCCCTACCTCACTACATCGAGCTGGGAAAACTTCGACTACCTGTGCGTTTGTTCGTTCCCCGGGTCATGAACTGCCAAAACTGTAAGCAGTTGGGACATACGGCCTCCCACTGTGGCAGCAAGGCACGCTGTTCCAAATGCGGAGAGAAGCATGGGGATGACACCTGTGCAGCTACCGCACCAAAATGCGTGTACTGTAAGGGAACTCCTCATGGTATCTCGTCATGCCCGGTGTACAAACAACGCGGGGAGAAATTACAACGCTCACTTAAGGAACGTTCCCGGCAGTCTTTTGCAGAAATGCTTAAGACGGCCACGCCATCGACCAACGACAAAAATCCCTTTTCTCTTTTGTCAATGACGAGACTGACTCTGACTTGGCTGAGGAGGGAACTTCTTTCTGTTTTTCAGCACGGAAACGAAAACGCATCCGTTCGCGGAAAATTGAGAATGAAGAACCCCAAATCAGCTTGCCCAAATCAAGGAGTGGTGGAAAAAAGGAAGTTTCTACTCCTCCTGGATTCAGAAGAACTGACTATACCCAGGATTTTCCACCTCTCCCGGGGACATCCAAAACCCCTGATGTCCCATTTTTAAGAACAGAAGCCCCTTCTTCATCTGGGTTGTTCTCATTTGATAAAATTGTGGACGATATTCTCAAGTACCTGAATATTTCTGATCCTCTCAAAAGCATTGTTCTGGCAATGCTTCCTACTGTGAAGACCCTCTTGAAGCAATTGACATTGAAGTGGCCCCTCATTGCAGCAATCATTTCCTTCGATGGATAATTTTCCAAACGAGGTCGGGGATTTGATCACTATTCTACAGTGGAATTGTCGAAGTCTTATTCCTAAATTAGACTCTTTTAAGTTTTTAGTTCACAATAATGATTGTGATGCATTTGCTCTTTGTGAAACTTGGCTCTCTTCAGATATAGATCTACCTTTTTATGATTTTAACATTATTCGACTGGATCGTGAGGATTCGCGTGGAGGAGGGGTACTTTTGGGGATCAAAAAGTGCCATTCTTTCTATAGAGTGAATCTTCCACAATTTACAGGTATTGAAGTTGTCGCATGTCAGGCTATTATTAAAGGTAAGAGCCTTTGTATTGCTTCTGTTTATATTCCTCCTAGAGCCGTTGTTAATCGAAAACAACTTTCAGATATATGTTCAGTACTTCCTGCTCCACGGTTGATTATGGGAGATTTTAATTCCCACGGTACAGGCTGGGGGGAACTGTATGATGACAACCGTTCTACTTTTATCTATGACCTCTGTGATAACTTCAATATGACAATTCTTAACAATGGAGAAGTAACACGTTTGGCTGGACCATCTTCGAATGGAAGTAAATTAGACCTCACACTTTGCTCTAACTCATTATCGTTGGATTGCACGTGGAATGTGATCCAGGATCCCCACGGTAGTGATCACTTGCCGATCAAAATTTCGATTGCCAGTGGGTTCAATCCGTCGGAATCCGTTAACGTCGCGTACGACCTCACCCGTAATATCGATTGGACAACGTTCAAGACCGCGATAGAGGAAGCCGTGTCGTCGGTAGAAGGGCTTCCACCGTTGGAGGAATATAACTTCCTCTCCAATCTGATCTTGGACAGCGCGCTTCGAGCTCAAACTCGGCCGGTTCCTGGAACGTCTTTGCGTAGGAAACCTCCTTCCCCTTGGTGGGACCACCAATGCACTGAGGTTTATCGTAAAAAGTCCGACGCGTTTAAGTTTTTCCGGAAACGTGGAATACCCGTGTATTTCGAAGCGTACTCGGCTCTTGAACGCGAACTCAAGAGCCTCATCAAAGCCAAGAAACGCGGATACTGGCGGCAATTCGTGGACGGATTATCGCGCGAAACGTCGATGAATACGCTTTGGAACGCGGCGCGAAGGATGCGTAACCGGTCTTCGAACAACGAGAGCGAGGAGTACTCAGATCGTTGGATTCTCAAGTTCGCGCGAAAAGTATGCCCTGATTCCGTGCCGGCACAGATGATTCCTCGCGAAACGACGAATTCTGTAGACGAGATCAGCCAGCCTTTTTCAATGCTGGAACTCTCACTCGCGCTCCTTTCGTGTGGCAATTCGGCTCCGGGGGCTGATAGAATCAAGTTCAACTTGTTGAAGAACCTCCCAGACGTCGCTAAGAGGCGCATGTTGAACTTGTTTTGTCAGTTCCTGGAGCTCAATATTGTTCCGGATGATTGGAGGCAAGTGAGAGTTATAGCCATTAAAAAGCCTGGAAAACCCACTTCAGATCATAACTCGTATCGTCCCATCGCGATGTTATCGTGCATTCGAAAATTGTTGATCCTTTTTCGCTTGGACAAATGGGTTGAGACGAACCACCTACTCTCAGATACTCAATTTGGATTCCGTAGGGGCAAGGGAACGAACGACTGTCTCGCGTTGCTTTCCACAGAAATTCAGTTGGCTTTTGCTAAAAAAGAGCAAATGGCTTCTGTATTCTTGGATATCAAGGGGGCTTTTGATTCAGTATCCGTTGAAGTCCTTTCAGACAAACTCCACGCTTGTGGCCTTTCTCCATTAATAAATAACTTTTTGTACAATTTGCTGTCAGAGAAACATATGAGCTTTTCTCATGGAAACTCTACAGCTTCTCGATTTAGTTACATGGGTCTCCCCCAGGGCTCATGTTTAAGCCCCCTTTTGTATAATTTCTACGTCAAAGAAATTGACAATTGTCTAAGTGACAACTGCACGTTGAGACAACTTGCAGATGACGGCGTAGTGTCTATGACAGGGCCCAAAGGGGTCGACCTGCAAGGACCCTTACAGGATACCTTGGACAATTTGTCTACTTGGGCTATTCAGCTAGGTATCGAATTCTCCACGGAGAAAACTGAGTTGGTCGTTTTTTCTAGGAAGCATAGCCCAGCACAACCAAAGCTTCAACTTTTGGGTAAACCGATCACTCATTCTATGTCCTTCAAATATCTTGGGGTCTGGTTCGATTCAAAATGCACCTGGAGATCCCACATTGAGTATCTGAGACGAAAATGCCAACAAAGGATCAATTTTCTCCGAACAATTACCGGAACGTGGTGGGGAGCCCATCCGCAAGATCTTCTAACGTTGTACCGGACAACGATTTTATCGGTTTTAGAATACGGTAGTTTTTGTTTCCAGTCGGCGGCTAAAACTCACATCATCAAACTGGAACGTATCCAGTATCGTTGTCTTCGTATCGCGTTAGGATGCATGCACTCGACTCATACGATGAGTCTAGAAGTGTTGGCGGGCATGTTGCCACTATCGGATCGGTTCTCGGAATTGTCCCTCAGGCTCCTCACCCGTTGCGAAGTTATGAACCCACTGGTAATCGAAAACTTTGAAAAGCTTCTTGAGCTGAACCCTCAAACTCGTTTTATGTCATTGTACTACGTGTACATAACACAGGATGTCAGCCCTTCACAGCATAATCCTCATCGTGTATGCTTCTCCGACTTCGGCAATTCAGTTAGTTTTGATTTATCTATGACGCGGGAGATTCGTGGGATCCCAGAACATCATCGTTCCATGATTGTTCCGTCAATTTACGCTGCAAAGTTTGGCCAAGTTGATTCCGCAAGATCGTTCTTCACAGATGGATCACTAATAGAGTCGTCCGCTGGTTTTGGTATTTTTAACGAATTTCATAGCGCCTCTCTAATGCTTCAAGCTCCTTGTTCCGTATATGTTGCTGAGCTGGCGGCAATACATTATACGCTAGAAACGATCGCCTCACTTGCACCAGATCATTATTTTATTTTTACGGATAGTCTCAGTTCTGTCAAGGCTATTCGCTCTATGAGGCCGGTAAAGCACTCCTCGTATTTTCTCATGAAAATACGAGAGCTTTTAAGTGCTTTATCTTTAAGATCTTTTGTCATCACCTTTGCATGGGTCCCATCTCATTGCTCGATTCCGGGCAATGAGATGGCTGACTCACTTGCTAAGGTGGGCGCTATGGAAGGCGATATTTACGATCGACAAATCGCCTACGATGAATTTTTCTTCATTTATCGTCAACAGTCACTCGTCAGCTGGCAGAATAAATGGAGTGAAGGGAGTTTGGGACGATGGCTATATTCGATCATCCCTAAGGTGTCGAAGAGTTCTTGGTTCAAGGGGTTGGATGTGGGTCGAGACTTCATTCGTATGATGTCTCGCCTCACGTCCAATCACTATTCGTTAAACGCTCACTTGTTCCGTGTTGGGCTGAAGGACAGCAATCTCTGTGAATGTGGACAAGGTTACCAGGACGCAGATCACATTATTTGGTCTGGTGCTGAGCATCGCGGAGTCAGATCTGAACTGTACGATTCCCTTCGGGCTCGAGGTAGTCAACCTCATGTTCCAGTTCGGGATATTTTGGCTAGACGCGATCTGGAGTTTATGAAACTCATATATGTTTACTTTAAGAATATTAACATTAGATTGTAAGTTTTATTAACCTTGTGTTTAGTTTGTATTTTGTACGTGTGGGTTTTTTTTTATGTTTGTTTTCAAGATGAATAGAAATTAGTTCATGTTTTAGGATTAATTAAATATTTGTATCGTAAACCACATTTCAAACCTCCCTCTTCCTTTTCCCATCCAAAAAAAATTGTAAATCCCCACTAACCTCGAGACAAACGCGAGTATCCGGTCCAGCTCCTTTAACTTTAAATATAAGAAATCAATAATGTATAACAAAAATGATAACTCGGCTCTGTAAAGTTTATTCGATTGAGCCTGTACAAATAAAGTAATTAATAAAAAAAAAAAAATACAGCATTCAGCTACTTAAACACTGGCGGCTCGTAATGAAAAAACACACTGAACCTAAACATCGCCACCACCTTGAAATGTCAATTTAAACTAAACATAAACAACTGATTCTATACTATTGGGACAACGAGTACAAATGCAGAAGGTTTCTTACAACAACTTAAGATTACATCGACAATCTTTTACGTATCCGTAATCAGAGGACCAACGGTGGGAACAGATTGTAGTGAAGAATCTCCTGCGGATGGCTCCAGCAACGAAGTGTTTTCGTCGGTTTCCTCCTGTGGCAGCATGCAAATTTTGACGATGGGTCGTTTTACAATTCCCTTGTTTGTTTTCAGAGTCACGACTCGAATCAAACCGTCCTCTCCCGGATGGATATCCACGATTCGAGCGAGGGGCCATTTCAGTGGAGGCTGCATTTCGTCCACTAAGATCACGAGACGTCCAGGCTTGATTTCGCTGTTCGCACGAAAGTTATTCTGGCTCTTTTGTAGTTCATGTAGGTATTCAGTACGCCAACGGTGCCAGAAGTTTTGATGCAGCTGCTGCAGCTGTTGATAATGGCTCAAGCGATCGGTAGGGATGCAACGCACGTCGTGGTCAGGCAGGGATTGCATAGGTGCACCGATCAAAAAGTGGCCGGGTGTCAGTGCAGTAAGGTCTTCAGGATCCTCCGATAGTGGAACAAGTGGACGAGAGTTCATGCTGGCCTCGATTTGTGTGAGCACCGTTGACATGGCTTCGAATTGGAGGCGAGAATTTCCTAGTTGCCGATACAGCTGCTTTTTAGCGACTTTAACTGCGGCCTCCCATAAACCGCCGAAGTGAGGTGCTTTCGGTGGTGTCATGTGCCAAGTAATGCTGTTGTTAGCCAGGACAGATTCGATGACATTCATTTCCTTCTTGCTACGTAGGAACTTGTAGAGAGCAAGTAGCTCATTTTTGGCTCCCTCGAAGTTTTTTCCATTGTCGGAGTGGATATGCGCTGGGAAACCGCGGCGCGCGATGAATCTGCGCAACGTTGCCATAAATGCCGCCGTTGTTAGGTCCGAGACTAGTTCGAGGTGTACCGCTTTCGTAGAAAAGCATATGAAGACGCAGATGTACGCTTTCGGTGAGGGTGCTCGCTTGTGTGGTGCTCGAAGGTAAACGGGCCCAGCATAATCGATTCCGGTAACGGTGAATGGTCTGCTTGGAGTGATTCGAGGCACAGGCAGTTGGCCGATCTGCTGCTGGGTTTGGACGGGATCGACTCTCGCGCATCGAATGCACTGACGTAGGACGCTGCGTACGGTTCTCCTTCCATGCAGTGGCCAATATTTCTCACGAATTCGGGCAAGTGTGAGCTGGCCACCACCATGCAACAGGTTAACGTGGTGGGTACGTATGAGCATGCGGGTAAAGGGATGGGAACTGGGCAATAGGGCTGGGTGCTTCGTTCTGAATGGCTGGTCTGACAATCTCAACCTACCCCCTACTCTTAACGTGCCTTGTGCGTCTAGGAAGGGGTTAAGTACACAGATTGGCGAATGTTTGGAAATCATCTTTCCCTTTTGTAGATCTTTCAACTCTGCACGAAACGCATCTGCCTGAGCAAGACGAACCAAAAGATCTTCAGCCGAGGATATTTGAGCAGTGGTGAGCGTTGGACTAGGTAGATGACCAGTAGATACCAATGGCTGGGTGCGCGCTTTATGCCGAATATTCTCGATGAACCGGAGGCAATATGCAGTTATGCGCCTGAGTCTGTAGAATGCAGAGTAGCGGTCAAATACTCCGTTGATTTGCTGTGCTGTACGTGTAATGGTCGCCACCACCTTGAGATGTTCCATTTCGTGTTCAGGTGCTGGGGGTAGTGCTGAGTTGATCCAATCTTCTTTCGCTTTGAATAGCCATTCTGGACCGTGCATCCAGAAACTGCTTACAACGAAATTGTCGACGTCCATTCCTCGTGACAGCAAATCCGCTGGATTCTCCGAACCGGCGACATGATTCCATTGAAATCCATGCGTTAGAGTTTGAATTTCCGAGACCCTATTGGCAATGAACGTTTTCCAGTTGTTTGGAGGTGATCGCAACCAATGTAGCGTGACAGTTGAGTCGCACCAGAAGAAAGAATCCGAGATTTCGATTTGAAGAGCTTTGCTGACATAGGCGTACAACTGAGCACCGACGAGAGCCCCACATAGCTCCAAGCGAGGTAGAGTGATACGTTTTAACGGAGCAACTCGAGTTTTCGATGCGATGAGTCGAACACGGACGTTACCAGAAGAGTCAACAGAACGAGCGTAGATGCAGGCCCCATATGCAGCTTCCGATGCATCGGTGAACGTATGGAGTTGTACTTTGGCGTGTGGCAACAATGCATAGCGATCGACTCGAAATTCAGTGAGCTTTTCCAACGAACTGAAGTACTCCCCCCACTTGAATTGAAGAACGTCCGGTACAGGCTGGTCCCAGCTGCAGTTAAGGAGCCATAGTTCTTGCATCAGCATTTTTCCTCGGACGACGATCGGTGCAGCAAGCCCTAGTGGATCGAAAAGCTGGGAGATTGATGATAACATGGACCTTTTGGTAGCAGGCTTGTCCGGATGAGTGACCTTCGAGTCAAATCGCAGCTTGTCAGCTTCAGGTTCCCATACGATACCCAACGTTTTCAGACTTTCTTGAGGAGTGAAGCTTACGATGGATTGTGTCCCGATTTGATCTTGGCTTAGTCCTTGGAGCACCTCTAGCTTATTCGAAGCCCACTTTCGTAAAATGAAACCACCTTTCCTGAGAAGATCGTCTAGTTCCTTTCGCAGCTTGATGGCTTCTTCGATGGTTTGAGCACCCGCAACGCAATCATCGACATAGAAACCTTTGCGGAGAACTGGTAGAGCGAGTGGATATGCTGGACCTTCATCTTCTGCTAGTTGCAGAAGGGTTCGAGTGGCTAGGAAGGAAGAAGGAGCGAGCCCGTATGTGACCGTTAGTAGCTGGTACACTTGGATTGGTTGGGATTTCGAAAAGCGCCAGAATATGCACTGGAACGGGCAATCCAGTAGATGCAACAGGATTTGACGATACATTTTTTCCACGTCCGCCACAATTGCAACTGCAAACGTCATAAAACGTAGAATAATCGCTAGCAGCTCATCCTGAACAACGGGTCCAACGAGCAGGGCGTCGTTCAACGAGAATCCGGTTGATGTTTTTGCAGATCCGTCGAAGACGACACGTACCTTCGTAGTGGTGCTGGATTCCTTCACTATTGGATGGTGAGGAAGGTAGTACGAGTTTTTGTCGTCGATTTCATCTTCGGGAACTAATCGCATATGACCAAGGGACAAGTACTCTTCCATGAACTTATGATACTCCTTCTTAAGATCGGGTTCTCGTTCTAATCTTGCTTCAGTAGCCCTGAATCTTCGAATGGCAACAGCTTTGGATTCCCCTATCATGGTGTTGAATTCCGGATGACGGGGCAGACGAACTTGATAGCGACCAGAAGAATCACGTGAGACTGTTGACTTATACCATTCTTCGCATTTCCTCTCCTTTTCAGAATAGTCAGAACTGTGAGGTAATTCTTCTAGCTTCCAAAAGCGTTCCAAACTCTCTTCGAGTGTGACCAGGCAAACTGCAGTGAAGTTGCAAGTGGCGGAATCGGGAGATGTTGGAATGAGATGACCAGAGCCGGCAACGATCCATCCGAATACGCTGTCGACCAGTTCGGGCAAATCTTTCGCTAATTGGATACGAGCCGTTGTTGTGAAGCAGGAGAAAAAGTGTTGAAGACCGATGATCATGTCGATGTCAGCACGCTTGTTGAAGTTGGGATCGGCCAAGAACAGGTCCTTCGGGATTTTCCAGTCGACGATTGGGACGTCTTGCTCAGGCATGGCGGACGTCACTCGAGGCAGAACGAGAAATTCAATGTCGCGTGTGAAATCCTCCTTGCGAGAACGAATTTGAGTGGAGACAGAATCTGATGCGCGAATCGAAATTCCCCCAGGTCCTTGCAGCTGTACATTCACCTTCTTCCGCTTGAGCATCAGCATTTGTGCCATACGATCCGTCATTAGATTGGGTTGGGAAGCACTGTCTAGCAAGGCCCTTGCTAGGTGTTCTTGCCCGTGGACGTCTACGATGACCAACACTACGGTGAGCATGAAGATGTTGCTGTTTCGAGAGATCTGAGACGACACTGCTTGAACTTCGTTGACGTACGCAGAGGTACATGAATCCATGGTGGATGAATCGATGTTGGCCACGGTGACGTTTGCTTGAGTGGAAAATTGTGGCTCACTAGTAGAGCACTGAACCACGTTGCTACTTGGAGAAGAATCTGCGTAGCCAGGATGGATCCACGTATGATGACGTTTCTGACACATTCGGCAGTTGGTTTGGCAAGGGCAGTTGCCAACGTAGTGCCCATCTTGGAGGCAGTTTTAAGCAGAGTCGTTTTGTGTTTATAATATTCAACTTCTCCTGAAGAGATAGCTTCTTGAATTGGCGCATTGCAAAGCTGGGTCGATACCGGAATTCCCTTTCTTTGTATTATTCTCCGTCACAGCATGCGTAGACATCTTCTGTTGAAAAACCTGGCTGCATTTTTGTGAACCAGAAGAACCATAACCAGAAGAGAAAGGCGAAGTACTATGCGAATTCGGAGGTAGTGGAACAGACTCATGATTGACGGCAATAGATTCAAGAACCCTGATTCTCCGCTGCAGAAAGTCAACTAGGTTAGTGTATGTTGGCTTATCGATTGTTGACGCGTGATCCTCCCACAATTTCAGCGTTTCGTCGTGCAGTCTGCTGCAGAGTAGATGTTCCAGCATTGTTGACCAGGTATCGGTAGGCTCCCCTAGTTGTCGCAGAATTTTCGTGTGCCTTTCGAATTAGTCGACAAGTCCATGTAGAGTCGCTGCAGATTCCTGTTTCATCCTTGGAGTCTTGAACAGAGCTTGTAAGTGCCGCTTTTTGAGGAGATACTCGTTGGAATAGCGTGACACGAGAGCCTCCCAAGCGAGTTGGTAGTTCGCAGCACTGATGGCGATGGATTCAATTACTTGAGCAGCCTCACCTTTCACAGCAGCACGCAGATAGTGAAACTTCTGAATGTCAGCCACTTCTGGGTTAGAGTGAATAAGCGCGAGGAACGTATCATGAAAACCTAGCCAATCTTGGTAATCACCACTAAATTCAGGCAGAGCTATTGTTGGCAATTTTAGACCATGCAGACCAGAGTTAGTGTGAGTAGGGGGATTTAGAGGGAGATTGCTTGGTTGATTGATAGGTGGAGGTAACTTAGATAGCAGACCAGCTTTAATTGCGAAAAATTTGGACTCAAAGTCAGAACGATAATTCAAATTCCTCACCATGCCTTGATTCGACGTCTCCATTTCCTCCAGTTCCCTTTGAGTTTCCTCCAGCCCTTGCCACACGATTTCCAAATTTTCCAGCCTCAGAGGGACTTGCAGAGCGTCCCGTCCAGCCTCAAATACCTGAAGAAATTGTTCCGCTCGGCTGAGTGACGCAAGCAGTGTGGTTCTCCGGATGTTGAGCTGTTGCTTCCTCCTATCATCGTCCATCTTGTCGGTCGTTGTTGCGAGCAGATGGTCACCACCGTGGTACCAGCGACAGTGGCAGCGACGTGAACAGAAAGCGGAACGTGGTCTGACCAAGGCAAGTTTGTGCCTTGTATTTTAATGCAAAATCTCGTACTCAGCCAGAAACAGTTTCAAAATAACCAAGAACTTGATGTTCCGTATCGATGACCCCTTAGCGATCTTCGCGATAGATTAGCGATGGTGTTTGTCCTCGATAGCACTCACGAAGCAGCGTGGAATCCGTTGACCGTAATATCAGGAGTCGTGAAACGCCGAAATCCACCAGCCGACATGTGCGTTTTAAAAGGAGAGAACTACTGCCTAATTAATTAGGCCTTGTATTTTTGTAATGGCAGCATACAACTTGCAAAATCGTTCCAGAGGTGATCGTGATGGCGACTCCTTTTTGTCGCGGACAATTGGTGATTGTCTCTTTGACCGCGCCCGAAGATGGCGGTTATTTCTGCAGTATTGTTACCGGACAGAATGGCGATCACGGAGATGGCGATGAGCCCCCGAAAAGTCCAGGAATCCACAATTATCCTGGTCACGGCACCAAATTATGTTGGGGAAGAACCTTTTCTCACCGCTTTACGGCCGTCATTCGCCTAACAGTTTGCAATACGCAACTTATTCTTCGCACGGTCAAACGTAACACATTCACAGAGGGACGATAATTTATTGCAACACCAAACACTTAACAAACTTTGTTTCTAATTTCTAGGACAGAGTATATTTGCGCGCAATTTGGTTTCCTCTTGCAAACTCAGTGGTGGCTGATGGCAAACTATATTAAAATCGTTTCTTATTCTATACTTTTCTAAGCCTATCACCGAATCGGCCGTAGTATGCAGATTGTATTGGTGAGAGAGAAAAACGAGAGAAATTTATACGATGTTAAATACAGCATTCAGCTACTTAAACACTGGCGGCTCGTAATGAAAAAACACACTGAACCTAAACAGACCCTGATTAGCCTCCCAAAATTTGAACTCATTTAGTGAGAAACTGACTTGGCACAAACCATTTGAAGTTTATATAGGAATTACTATGGAGCAACCATAATTTCGGTTCATATTTATCTCAAAATTCACCAGTTTACTCCACTTTAGAAAATGATAGCTGAGCTTGTTGAAAATTTTCTCAGCTACAACTTTGTTGCAGACTACTTTTCAATCAAATGTAACAATCAAAAGTTATGAATGATTCAAGTCACTGATGTCTTATGATTATGCTCAATCAACTGTTCAACAGGTAACATTGGTGTTTCTGGCACGCACAATTGAGGACAAAAATCATGGCTACTATGTCATACTGCAGAATACAGTGTTGCCAACAATACAGTTGCTGAATCGTGCCATAAGATTATCAATCTCTTAAACAATTAATAACTATTTAATTTGACGTTTGACTGAAAAACAATGTTGTGTAAAGTTGTAGTTGTCCCATAAGAATAGCAATAGAATTTTTTAACAGTACAATACGTAAAAAGGCTAAAAGACAATGAACAAAAAGTTTTGTTTTCATACAGTATTTTCCATATAAACTTCAAATGGTTTGTGCCAAGTCAGTTTCTTATCAAATGAGTTTAAACTTTCGGAGGCTAATCAGGACCCGATTTGAAACCGTTTGAACACCGTGGAGCGAAAATTTCAAATTTTGCATTAGTCTAGTGCCCACTAGACTGATGCAAAATTTGACTTTTTCGCTCCACAGTGCTTAAATGGTTTCAAATCGGGTCCTGATTAGCCTCCCAAAGTTACAACTCATTTGGTTAGAAACAGACTTCGCACAAGCCATTTGAAGTTTACATGTAAATTACCATGGGAAATCTCAACTTTTTGTTCATTGCCTTCCAGTCTTTTTTCCATATTGAGCTGCGAAACAGTTCGATAACTATTCTTATAGAAAATTTTCTCAGCTACAACTTTGCTGAAGATCGTTTCTATGTAAAACGAGACAGGAAAAAGTAATTAATTATTTAAGAGATTGGTAAACTTATGACAAGATCAAGCAGCTGTTCTGTAGGCAACACGGTATTTTGCAGTGTGTATAATAGACATGATTTTTGTGTCCTATTCAACGCCCCAGAAACACCAATGTTGCCTGCTGAGCAGTTGATTGAGCATGATCATAAGACATCCGCGCATTGAACCATTGATAACTTTCGATCCTTGCATTTAATCAAAAAGAGGTCTTGAGCAAAGTTGGTGCTGGGAAAATTTCCTACAAGTACAGTTGAATGCTTTTGAAGCAGACCGATATGGTAAATTATTAGATAGACATGAACAAAAATCTTAGTTTTACCATATTCATTCCCATACAAATTTCAAATGGTTTGTGCCATCTCAGTTTCTCACCAAATGGGCTTAAATTTTGAGAGGTTCGTCAGGATCCGATTTGGAATCGTTTAAGTATTGTGGGGCGAAAATTTCAAATTTTGCATCACTCTAGTGCCGACCCGTCCGACGGCTGCAACGAAAATGTATTTGCGCAAATCGTAATAGTATGTGAAATTATACAAATAATGAATAGATGAATTCCACCACGTTTTTCCCTTAATACATCCATGAACTCGAAAATTCTGTGTTTTGCTTATCGTTAAGAACCCGTTTACTGTGCGGTCTATTTGGATAAGGTAAGTGCCGATATATCGTTGTTTGCCCTAGTTTGCCCTGAGATAGCTAGCTGTGGTGTTTGAACGCAGATCAGAGCGGAGTAGAAAACCCTTTTGTTTCAAGCTCAGGGAATTTTATTGATGAGCTGTAAGTTTGTATCAAAAACTTCTGGTAAATTTCGGAAACTTCAGCATTGTTCGAACAATTTTAAGGCAGTTCAATTAACTTCAGGAAAACTTCGGGAACTTTAAATTTTTTTGAAAAATTCAGGCAAGTCTAGAGAATTTTATGGGAAATTAGATACCTTTAGAACAATTCCTTTAACTCCAGAGAAGCACCGAAAACTTCAGGATAACCTAGACTTACAAGGAATTTATAAAGTCTAGAAAAATTCGTTATTTTGATTCGGTTTTTCAGTCAGTATGAATACAATAAAAAGTGTTGATTACAGTTTTATCATCGTCATCGTTTCGATCCAGGGATAAGATCTTCATCAGGGCTAGTTTTTGATTAACTTAGCCGGTAATGACAGTCCTCGGCCATATAAGCCATCTCGGGCATGTTCCAGAGCCCCCGGGGAAGTGGCCAAATCTCAACAAAATGTTCCGATGCCCGCGGGCAAATGGCCAATTTCCAATATGAAGCGTATCAATATCGATGATGCGCTCACATTCCGATCTTACGTTTCTATTCATATAGATCGGAACATGCCGGGGAGTGCTAGTGAGTAGTTCCACACAGATTCGCAAATCGTTTTGGATCGATGTTTTTAGAATTACTTGTTATTTCACACAGTTGTTTTTGTCCAATGTGCCATTTTACATATTTGGTTCCCTAGACATGTTTCTCGGACGTAGAAAAAGACAAGTGTTCCACGATTTTTCAGCTTCGCCGGCACAAGTGCTGGACGCTACAGTTGGGATGCCACGTAATGTGTTTAGTTTCGATATTCCGCGCATTTCAGAAGATATGGTGATAGCCGCAACACGCAAACTGAAGCTCTCGTTCGCCGCCGGATCTGACGGCATTCCGTCATCAGTTCTAAAACGTTGTGTAGCCAATATCTGCCTTCCACTTGCAAGACTATTCAATCTCTCGGCACAGCACTGTGAGTTCCCCTGCCGCTGGAAACATTCTTATCTTATCACGAGCCTGGTGCAG